GAGTGGCAACTTCTAAGTTACATAATGAAGTTTTTTGAAATGTTCTTCCTAGGACCACAAATTTTTGTCTTCTAGCTGTTACAGTTGGCCTCCAGTGGTGGTCTGAAATGGGAGAGGTATGACAGGGACTGTGTCTTTCAGCATGTGGTGGGAAAAAGGAAATGATATAAACTCAAATCAGTTGCAATATCCATATCATTTGAAGCTGAGAAATGAGTTGTTGAGTGCACACATGTATGGATTTCTCTCTTGCTAGCATGAACGTTAAACTGACACATATGTTGGACAATTTGCATCTTGTTTTTTGTTAAAAATTCAGATACTGGCTCTGCTTCTGTTGTCAGGTAAGTGTGTGAAAGTATTCCCTTGCATTTCTAACTGAAAGTGAAATGACAGAAAATGTCCAACATATGTGTTAATTTAATAAGTACCTTTATTGTGAAACTTTGTGGTCAAGACAAAATAATAAATATGACGACAGTGACAACAAAAACAGTGGTGGCAATAACAATAACAGCAGCAGCAACAAAAGCGGTTCTTAAACAAGAAGTTCTGGAGAGAACTAATCACCTGTTTTCCTTTGATATGACATGGACTGCATAGAAAATGACACCTCCGACAATTCTTCATTGCTGCAGGAGCATGTTTACTGAGTTGTTACCTACCAGTGATAAGGGGATACACAGACAGACCAACAGACACACACATCCAACAGTTCTGTTGTTGCCTGTATTCATTGCCACAGGTATGTGTTTACTGAGCCATTGCCTAGCAATGGAAGGAGGGATACCTTTTAGCAGGCCTTTGCTGAGCAACAATAAGTGGGATGCAGGTACAGAGACTCAGACTCATGAGAGGGATTTATGAAGTACACTGTTGAGATGGGCTCAAGTGCCATGATATACAAGGTTCTGTAAGAAAGTTCCTGGAATAGTAGGTCAAAAAAGATATGCTAGCTTAACTTATTAAATTTTTGTCAAAACAATCTCCTTGGGAATGTATACAATGATCCCATCGTTTTTTCCACACCTGAGAAGCACCGTGGAAGTAATTTTCCTTCATGCTGTCGAGTACCGCTTGTGATTCCCTTTGGATGTCAGACACTGTTTCAGAACGTCCCTTTAGTTTCATTTTCAGTTTGGAAAACAAAACAAAATCACAGGATGTTAAGTCTGGCAAGTATGGAGGATGGGGAAAGTTCTGGTCTTTTTCATTGCACTTTTTCTCTCAAGTGTCTCAGAACATCACAGTAAAAGTCAAGAGTTTACAGTAGTGTTAGAAGGAACGAGTTCATGGTGAACAATCCCTTTCATATTGAAAAAAGCAATGAGCATGCTCTTTGTTGAACTCCAGACCTGCTGCGGTTTCCCCCCCCCCCTCTTGAGTGTGGGCTCTTCCACTGCGATGTTTGTTGCTTTGTTTCTGGGTCATAACCGTAAATCCAACTTCCAGCCCCATTATGATCCTTGTAAAAGTGGGGTCCTCATTAACCTTCTCTGTAGCTTGAGACACATGTTTACATGCCTCTACTTTGGTCATTTGTCAAGATTCTGGAAGTAAACTTTGCAGCAGTGCAGCACATGTTCAAATTTTCTGTTAAGATCTCCAGGGAAATTCCATAACTAAACTCAGTGGTGTCTGCGAGCTCATGGATTGTTTGGCGACGGTCTTCATGGATGAGTTCTCAGATGTTTTCAACATTTTCCATCGTTTTGCTGGTGCTGTGTCTCCCTGAATGTTTGTTGTCTTCAGCTGACACTTGACAAGCCTTGAAACATGAATGCCATTCAAAAACCACTGTCCGGCTTAAAGAATGTTATCCAAAAGCCTCACGAAGCATTTCAAGGGTTTTGGTAGTGGATTTACCGAGCTTCACGCAAAACTTGATACAGACACGTTCCTCAATTTTGCCATCCATTGCAGACAAAACAAAACAAAACAAAACAAAGTCGAAAAGCACTTTTGTAAAACAATGTGTGTTCACAGTGCAGTGTCATGTGGCAGACTGATGCAGTAGGCTTGCAGAAGTGTGACTTTGGCCTCCCCTCTCATCTTCTTTCTTCAAGGCAGTTACCACAGTATCAGTCTAGGAACTTTCCAATAGCAAGTTCCATAAAGACTAGTTCAGGCATTCAGAAGCTAATGAAGGGGGATTCACAGACAGCATGGTAAAAGTAAAAAAGTAAAGTTATCCCTGTAACAGGCCTTAAAGGCCCATAGGGTTGTAAGATGTTGAGGGTCCCACATTATCTAGGTAGTCTGCTCAAAGATGGCGGTAAGGTTGTCAGCCTTATGCGCCAGCTGCCCTTTACTCCGCAGGAAAATTATTTAACTAATTCCTGGTATTCATTTCTGCTAGAGGCTGAGTGAACCCCAGGGTCATAGTGCGGCTGGAAGGATTAGGTCAATTGAAAAAATTCAATGACCTCGTCGGGACTTGAACCCGCGACCTTCCAGCTTGTAGCATAGCCCCTCAACCAACTACGCTACTGTGGATAACATAAATCTGCTTTAATTTTTTCAAAATAAGGAAGGTAGTCTAGTAATAAAAACTGCAATTACTCTCTAACCATCTGAATGTTGGGTCAGAGATGAAGGCCTCAGTGTAAAGACTGAATATATGAGATGTGCTACCTAATCAGGGCTATCACATTTCTCATAGAGTGGTATTGAATGGGTATGGAGCAGTGATGGGAGGATTTAATAGTTGAAAAGTGAAGAAACTTCAGAAATGAAACCTTCTCCAGTGCCACTTTGTTCTACATGAATCTCACATGAAGTTGTTTCAGATTGAACCCAAGGCTTCACAGTGAGAAGCCAGAATCTAATCATCCTGTCATTTAATGTTATGTAGGCCTGGTTACTGACAGTGTTGCTAAGCAAACCAAATGTCAGGTTTGTGTTTCTGTTTGCAGATTATGTCTCGTATTTTTTTGCCTGCTGACAGTATCCCACAGGACCAGATACACACCTAATCACTTATTGTCAAGGTTCAGAAACAAGATTTCATAGATATTCTCAGGTGTTCTGATTTCAGTGGATAATGAATGTTGTTTACGCTCAGGGATATTTTTTTCAGTAGTAGCTGTGCATTAGCTCTCTATCAGTGTATCACATTTTGCAAGATGACTTGTCTGCTATTGGCTGTGCTACTGTTGCAGTTAACTTTGTATTGTTAATATCCTTCTGCTTGCAGTCAGCCAGGTGAGTGGTCTGCATGAAATAAAATATTTTAATGTTTCTGGAACTTGGACATTTTGAATATGTTAATAAGAATATATTGCATGTTATTTGTGTATGTTTGTGGGTTGTAGATACCTAAGTCTTGACTATAGAAGCAGTTAACATAATTTTAAAAAATGTTATGTTTTATGTGATATTCCATGTGCTGCTAATGTTAATTAAATAGATGTACTACTAACAAATTTTTCTAGTCCATACTAGAAGGAAATTGGTTCAGAAACAAGTTCTGTTTTGTTACCAGAACACAGGACATGATCATAATATAAGGAAAGCTAATAACTCCTTTTAATTGTGGCAAAGCTCAGATAAATGGGAATTACAGCAACAAATCAAAACTATATTCATGATAAGTTTAAGAACAAATTTTGATGCTGTACAGTCTGCCATATTGACAACATCATAAAATAAACCATACATACAGAGAAGGTTGAATTTGTGAAAATGCTTGCTGCCATTCATTTCAGGCAGCCATCTCCTGTATCCTGTTTAAAAACATGTTTATTTAGACTGTTTAAGAACAGAGTGCCAAGCAGCATATGTAAATGTAAGAAAGAGGCAGTAACAGAAGGCTGGAGAAAATGACTTAATGAAGATTTCTCATAATTTGTACTCTTCACTCGTCTCCTAATGGACTGAGTATTTAGCACACATTGGTGAACAGGAATGTATGCAGAATTTTGGTTAAAAAATCTGAGGGGGAAGAAACAGTCTGGAGACCTCAGTGTGTTCTAAAGTTAATACTAGAACTGATTATAGAGAAAGAGGTGAAGCTGGGGTAACTGATCAGTGTAATTACCTGCTAAGGGCTCACTGGCTGAAGTTTGATTCTCAGCAGGAATAGAGATATATCTCTTTCCCGCCACATCCAGGCTGTCCCTGGTGTGCACCCATCTTCCCATCCAGTGGCCATGGTGTGAACCTGACTAATCACTTTGATGATAAAGTTAAGAATATGTGGAACTCTGCCTCTACTCCCCATACAGTTTCATGGAATTTTACTTAATTAAGCACAGGGAAAACTATGTCTGGTTAAATAGGGTCTGAAAATGGTCACTAGATTCATCTAGAAGAAAAAGAACTCTTCGAGGAAGGTTGAATATGTTGGGTTTTTCACTAGAAGTTGTGAATAGAAATGTTATTTACTGAAATACACATAGGTTGGCAGTTTTTAGGGGGTAATTGAAAAGAAATATGTTAATTGTATTTGAGCAATTATGTTATTTTGCAGGATTTGAGGTTCTCACAGTGGAAGTTATGACAAGTTCTGTCTTCTGGGATATAGCTTCATGTAAACTATTGAAAGTTAACAGATGTTTTGTAGGAATATATTACCTCCATCTTCAGGGTTGAAGAACATGCTAAACAAGAAACCAGCTCTGCTTTGCTGCATGCTTCATCGTGGTTTCTTGCTTGACTTACTCTTCAGTGCTGAAGATGGAGGCAACCTGTTCTTCCAAAACATCAGTTGGCTTTCAGTGGACTACACAGTGTTACATCCCAGAGATGGATTCTTCTTGGAGTTATTCTGTTAGCAGCTACAATTTTATTATTCATCCTGTGAAAATATTGGGAAGTAACTTTGCCCAGATATATTGCTTTCATAGTTAAGAATTAATGATTTTAAGTTTATAGTTTGTGCTAGTTTATTTGTGTTTTGTCATACATACTTATGATACAGTTCATTGTATTATAATGTCAGGCAGATGATTGTGGATACTTGAGAACTGTTTCACTAATTGAGACTTGACTTGTTGAAGAGAATCCACAGGGCCAAGGAACCGTCTCATTGGGCACATGGGAGCTAGCGTTGGTTATTGCTAGCCCTATTGTCATAGTGTGCATCATCGTAACAGTGGCCTATAGCCTGTGGCAGCAGCATTCCCGGCGCAAACACCAACTACCCTATCGGTCTGAGGATTCAATTGAAGCACCAGATCATCCCATATTGGGTGGTGTGTCATTACGGGACATGATTGAAATGACCACAAGTGGTTCTGGTTCAGGTAAGAGTTTTTCACTTTAGTTTTCACAGGTTCAGTCTTATTACATTTTGGTCAGGCTTTGTGCGTATGATGCGGACAACCACTTAACACTGAACTTAATTGTGTCTAGTGTTATAATAAATTTCAACTTAATTTATTCTTATCCAGATTGGTATGTTGTTGTAGCTTTCATCAAGACAACACATTTTTCTAGTGATGTGATATGAAGTAATATTAAAATTGAAATATAAACATGGTAGGCACTTGTGATGTAAAATTACTAAGTCTACTAGCAGAACCTGAAGGTTCAACACTATTAGTACCGAAGTCCATCATATACAATATCATGAGCCAGTTCCATCCACCTTCCACCCACACACACCATTGCCCTAGGATCCCTTTTAATGTTATCCTCCTCTCTGCTCCTTATCTTCTACATAACCACTTCTAGAGAGGTTAGCTCACCAAAATTCTGTTTGAATTTCTTGTCTATGCATTTTGAACTGTCTGCTATGTATAAGTCATGAAGTTTCTTATATGGTACTGGTGGTGATCTAAATAGTTCACTTTATTTTAGGTCCATGTATATTCCTGAGCACTTAATGTTCACTCTCCAGTATATTTTTCTTCAAAACTGCTTTATGGATATGGATTGAGTTTTCTATGGAGATGTTTACTAATAGTTATGGGTCGAATTTAATTTTGGAAGTTAACTTGTTAGGTCTCACTTATATTTCGCATGAAGTACAAACTGCACTTTACCAGATTCCTCAAAAATGACTCTGAACAGAGAAATTGGAAGTTACACAAAATATAGGTCTCTTTAGGACTGACATCTTCTAGATGAACTGTCATTCAGTATGGTGTGTAACAGAATATAAAGGAAAATAATTTCTGACTTTGTGCAGTCCAACAGTAGATTTATATGTGCAATAAATGAACATCAAGGCTAAGGAGGTGTACAGAATAGAAAAGAACATATCTTATATAATGATATCAGGTAACTTTCTGTCAATATTTTGAGTGAACTGCTGTACTGAAAAGCATATCAAAAAAAGTATATCAAAAAGGAGTCTACTTTACTGGCATAAAAGTGTTCAACAATCTGCCACAAAGTATTAAAAACTTGGGCAATGATACTAAAAAGTTTAAATCAGAGTTAAAGAATTATCTACATGCTCATTCCTTCTACTCTTTAGATGAATACTTCAATGTAAATAGAGAATGATGTAAAATTAAGTTATATTAATTTTTCAGCTAAAATTGCCTGTACTTATGTATGTAACCTTTTGACTTTTTCTGTATCCAAAGGTACTAACCTGCTTAGGATTTATAGAATGTAAATAAATTCAATTCAGATTCAATGAAAAACTGCAGAAATCTGTTACTAAATGCTTTTCCAGTATCTTTTAATAAATTTTAATTTAATCCATCTTCTCCTGTACCTTCTCCCCCCACTTAACTTTTTAAGTTTATATGGAGTTCATCTGAAGTTGCTAGTTTTGCATGATTAATTTTTGAGTGCAAACACTCTGTCCGTTGTGTCTGTAAATCATGAAAATAATTTGTGTGTGGCCCTTTTCATGTAGAACTTACTTGGAATTTATGTGCATAATGTTTGTTTGTTGTTGTTTTTGTTTTTATGACACCGCAGCCCCAGTGGGACTAGGCCTACCTCCATGAACTTCTCCGTTCACTTCGGTTTTTCTAGATTCGGTACACATTCGGTAAGACTCCTTGGGCGGGTGATCAGCTCATTGCAAGGCATCTACCTGTACACAAACACAGAAAAACGCACACACACAAACATCCATGCTCTGAGTGGGATTTGAACCCACGATCCCGGTTTCCAAGCAAGCGAAGACAGTACATGCCTTAGACCGCTCGGCTACCATGACCGGCCCTGATGATGGTGTATAACACTCAGAATTAGTGGGTTTTTATATTTTCCCCAGTTTTTTTCTACTGAAGGGGGCTTTTGCAGAGAAGTCTTTGGGGATGACACCCTGAGGCTTGACTCTCATGAGGAAAGTTATGAGGTTGAGAGTTTTGGCTAGCTGAATTATGTGCATAAACCCTGCAATAATTAGACTTTTCATGTGTGTTTCTGTAGCTTATTCAGTAAAGTGATGGCCAGGGTTCAGTTTTTAGCAAGGGCAGGAATATTTTTGTCCACCGCAACATCCAGGCAGTCTCAGAGCCCCATCTCTCTCTGTCTCCCTGGATGTGAAAATGGTGCAGTACTGACTATTCTCCTTCATCTCTTGTTGGTGTGGAAAATATTCACATCTTCATCTTCACATCCAGAGCTTTAACTTTATCCTCCTTGTATATCTTCACAGCTTGGTGTTTAGGCACAGGGACTTACCCTTATGTACTTTTTTCTTTAATGCTAGTGGGGTGGGACTAAGTCCCTTGTACTGTGGCCACTTCTGGCCTATTGTATCAGCCACAGATGATAGGTGAGGGTGATTGTGGAGCAATTGGTGGAATGAAGATTGGCAGGGGAAACCGAAGTACTCGGAGAAAACCTGCCCCAGCGCCACTTTGTCCACCACAAATCCCACTTGACCAGACCCGGGATCGAACCCGGACTGCCACGGTGGGAAGCCAGTGACTAACCACTTGAGCTATGGCGCGGCCCCTTATGTACTTCACAAGGAAATTAACATGATTTCATAAATATAAGATTTGTTACAGAGCAATAGTGTAACAAGTATGTGTTTTATTTTCCATCACAGGCTTGCCTCTGTTGGTACAACGAAGTATTGCAAGACAGATACAACTTGTTGAAATTATTGGCAAAGGGAGGTTTGGAGAAGTGTGGCGAGGGAGATGGAGAGGAGAGAATGTGGCAGTGAAAATATTTTCATCTCGAGAAGAACGTTCCTGGTTTCGAGAGGCAGAAATTTACCAAACAGTAATGCTGCGTCATGACAACATTCTTGGATTTATTGCAGCTGATAATAAAGGTGATTGTAATATATTCCGGAAATCATAATAAGTTTTCTAGTTTGTGTTCAGTAGTTATATTGTCAAAGTTTTATGTGCCTTTGCTGTCTTTGTCTTCAGGAAAAAGTCTGTCTTCATGGGCCTCACTGATATTTGCATTGTACAGCCACCTTTCACGAATTGTGCTGGCCATTACACATAGAGCACCAAGGAGGTGGTATGGAGTCTGCTGGATACAAATGGTTGAGACATCCTTTATGTTCATGCCTCATCCATTCGCATGTAACAAATTCCACTCGGTACCCAAGATATGTACACTCCCATTGAATCTTTTGACTCTCTTGGATGAGAATGGTAGAAGCATCCTGTTTGTTCAAATGTTAAAGGAACAGAGAAGATGGCTCATCCACTCGGATCCAACAGATTCCAAACCACCACCTGAGACATCTACACCCCTACATGAATTTTAATCTTTTTGCTATTTTAAGATCTCTTCCTTTGAGCCACATTCCTGTTGTTCAGTGATAAACACATGAATGATGGAAGTATGCCTTGACAGCACAGCTTCTCGGGGTAGTCACTTTGCCCTGAAGAAAGAGACAGCAGGGACTTATATTGGCAATATTGCTGTCATTCACATCGAGAAACCACCCAAAAATAGGACCAGCACCAGCACTAGCATCAGATCACCATGAAAGACTGTTGTCACTGATTCTTTTGTCTCTATGTGAATATTTTTACTAATTATTATTGGTACAACCAATGAATTCACTTCCTCTTGTTTGGGTTTGAAGTAGTAAATATTTTGATCTTCATGTGATTATACGTAGGTAAGTCAATAAGGAAGTTACAAATGGATATAGAACTTAAACAAATAAGAGTACTGATTTGAAAAATGGTTTTATTTCTCAACATAATCTCCCTGTACATTGAGGCAATTGTCCCATCGTTTCACAAGCCCCAGAAAACCAGCAGCATAAAATTGTTTGGACTGTTGTCAGAACCAGGCGGTGACTTCCCTTTCTACAGCTTCATCGGGAAAATGTTCAGCCGAAAGATGATGTTTAAGAGGGCCAAACAATGTACAGGGAGATTATGTTGAGAAATAAAAGCATTTTTCAAATCAGTTCTCTTGTTTAAGTTCTATATCCATTTGTAACTTACTTATTGACTTACCCTTGTATGTCTCATAGTTTGCCTTTAGTATATGACGTAACAAAAAGCAAAGATAAAATAAACACTATGGCCACAATAATGCTCTAATTGTACTTCATCAGTTTTAGGAAAACAGTCCATCATACAGGAATGTTAGTGTACATCTCATTAAGGTCTACAGCGATACTTGAAATGTTTTTCAACTTACAAAATATTCAGTGAACTACAAAGAAAAATGTTTTCTGACTTTGTGGATTTCATCTGTAGGGACTGTGATTGACGTCACAGTAATAAGTTCCATTTGTAATAAATGAACATCATGACAGAAAGTGTGGAAATTATCCATATGCAATTGGAATATGCAATTTCAGTCTTGTTAGAGGAACTTTTAGGAGTGGATAATGTGGTAGGGTAGATTGAATGATGTTACACAGGCCATGATCCCAGTGAGTAGAAAGGAGTGCTGCTAAGTATGTCATGTTAACCTTTAACGTACAGACTTTTAAATTGCCAACAGCCCTGTAGGGCCGGAATTTAAATCACCCTAATTAATTATCAATGCAAACTTTCAGAAAAAACGCATATTTTCCGTTCTATGCAACAAAGAAATATGAACTAAAAAGAACCTGAAAGACAATAAAATTTTCTACATATACATAAAAGAGCAAGTTTTACAAATGAAAATTAACTGTGATTATTTTGTCATGAAATGCAAAATATAATCTTTATTATATATGTTATGAAATTCCAAAGGACTTACCCATTGTTTTTTCTTCAACCTTGAATCATGGTGATATTGTAAATATAATCACACTATATACAATAATATTTTGTTCAGACTGTACGCGAGTTTGAACTGCATCACTTCACAGTTTACAATAACTCACACTTTGACACGCGTGTGCCACTTCTCAAAGCAGTCCACCACAAAAAGCGCAACGTCACACTTTTTACAGCAGTAGAGCATGCTTCTGCACTTCTTATTTTGAGAACAAATATGACATCTTTGTTTTCCTTTGGTTGGCCAGTGTTGTGAATGTTTCACCTCCAGTCAACTCAGTTGGGCCCCAGATGAACTTGGCCTCCTCCGAGAAACGCCACTGACTGTGATATTCGCCTCATGCGATTGAAGAATCAAATTCTGCACCAGTATTTTGCAGAACTTTTTGTTTGTCATTTTTCCACCACGTGACTTGTGTAATAGATATGCATTTAAAATAGTCATGTCTAGAAGATGGACAAACAATTTCTTTGTCCATTTCCATGCCCTCCTAGCAATGCCACAACTGTTTACCATCCTGTCAGATTTATCAACAAAGCCCATGTGTGCATTGTAGTCTTCAATTACATGGGGTTTGACAGCATGGCCAGATTCATCTCGTAAGTTGCCTTTCAATGGAGGAGGCTGCAAATTCGTCAGAAAATACACATCATGCTTGTCTTTCCAACGAACAACACTTAGATGCCCCTTGACTCTTGTAACAATATCCCCTTTTTTCAATTTCATTGACTTGGGCCGAATTTCTTGTGGCATTCCACGCCTATCATTGCGAACAGTGTCACACTAATTTATTTTCCTGTCTAAAAGTTTGTCAAATAATGCAGGAGAACTGAAATAATTGTCCATGTAAATTTTGTGACCCAAGCCTTCTACTCTTCGAATTAGCTGGAGAACCATGCCATGTGTCGATGTAATTTCTTCTGTCGCAGGTTGCCTTTGTTTGCCCAAATAAACTGTCACGTCATAAGTATACCCAAAAAAACCGCAAAGCTTGCAAATTTTTATGCCAAATCTTTTGCGTTTCTTTGGAATATACTGACGAAGAATCACTCTTCCTTTGAACAACACTATGACTTCATCAACAGCAAGATGTTCTGCTGGATTGTAAAGTTCACAAAATTTGTTGTTGAGATTGTCAAAAATTTTTTTAATTTTCCAGATCCTATCATACTCTGGGTCATCTCGATTTGGAGGAGCTTCATTATTTTCGAAATGCAGGAATCTCAAAATATGGAAGAAACAGTCTCATACCATGGTGTTACGTTAGAATGGAGTGTTGTATTGCTCATCTCTTGGCCAATAATCTTTTAGGGTGTCCCATTGATCGTGGCCCATTTGAATAATTATTGCCAAAAAGTTATATATCTCTTCAATTGTAACATCAGGTGGTTGAACAGAAGGGCCTGGAGCATCTTGGCATGCCATAAATTGTTGGAAATATCTATTGGTTTCTTATAACAAGATATGGAATATTTGTTGGAAAAACAGAATGAAAATGGGAAAAGGAGAGGACTGTGCATTTATATTGGGAGCAGCTGATCTGTTGATTCCACTCGGAGGACCAGTGAAGTCTAGTACCTTTGGCGAATCCCCGGGCCTTCTATCACGAAACCTAATTTCCATTTCCTCTGCCTCGTCTGATGATGATGATGATGATGACAGCATATTTGCTCAAGGTTCAATGAACTCATTGATATCTTCTAACTCTTCGCCAGATTCCTCTTCCATCAATATTTCCTCCAGTTCTTCTGCATCGAGAAGTTTGGAATATCGGGCATGTTTTTGAGGTTCCATCTTGGGGGAGGAGGGGTTTCCAGCAAAATCAAATAAATTATGTTGATTGACAAAGACTCGCAATATAGTGATGCAAAGTAACTGTAATAGTATGGTACGATAGGCCAGAAGTGGCAGCAGTACAAGGGACTTAGTCCCAGCCCACTAGCAATAAAAAATAATAACTGTAATAGTAGAGTCAGTGGGTTTATACCTCTTCCGAGACACAAAATAAAAATAATATACAAAGAAATATATGACAGTCTGACACCAACTTTTTAAGTGATAAAGCTATATGACACAATCCAACACTGACTTCCTAACTGATAATTCGCCACTGAAAACCAATCCTTGAATATATCACACTTCCTTGAAAGCTCTGGAAGCACCAACGAATATTTCCTCTTCAGTTCTCAGAACAAAGCTGGGGCATATTTGGCTGACTAGATCATAAAGTCATATATAAACGTAAACAGTTTCAAAACCAGGACTGAGATAAACGATTTCATTGTTCAGAGCTAACAAATGAACCTCTGACATGACCTTGTGTGGGTTTGTTTTTGTTTCAAACCCAAGATCAAACTGTCAGCACTCCCAAAGAGGGCACGTGTCCTGGGTCATATATATAAGACATTCGGCCAATGCGGGTTGCTGTTTGAGGCATATATGTATGACATTCGTCTGTCAAAGTAGCGTTTCCACATCACTGTTGTACTTTATTTTAATTTTGTTTATAATTTTAAGTGTAGGAATGCAGAACATGAAGAGAGTTGTAATACACTGATTTGAAAAGGTTGTAAAGTTAGTCTTGCAATGGAAATACTAGTCTCTCTTGGTCACTGAACTTCCTCTTGCAGTATTGGTGTGTAGCATAATCTGCACTTTCATATTAAGACATTATTGTAGTGGGTGAAATTTGAATTTTCATACCACTTCCATCTTGATGGAGTGAAAATGTGTGCATGCAGTATCACAACAAGTCCTTGACTGGTGTTGACGTGAGTAGCTGGTAACACAGGAAGAAGCTAGGTGTTGATGTTAGTTTAAAAGGCGCTAGCAGTGTTGCCTTCAAACAGTGGATCTTTGACACAACAGATGTAACTGGAACTTGATGTTTCCATCCAACGATGTTCCTCCTACAGTTGATGTTCATAAGTAATTCACATTAGTAGAGCATAATGGAAGTCTGTTTAGAGCCCAGGACAGGACTCCAGTGCCATAGCTGCTGTAGGGTGGTTTGAAATGAAGGGGTGCTATAGCACTACAGTATTCAGCCATTTGGAACATTGCAGTAATCTCCACATACCTGATAAGGTTAATAAAATTGTGTGGCATGATTGTGACATCCATGAAATCATTTCTACTTACGAAATGAATAATTGGAGTGTTGTTACTTTATCAGAACTCTGTTTGAAACCATTTATTGTGTAACATCAGAATTCAGAATTCTGGTAGACAGGTTCATCAAACATTTGCTTTTCTGACTCCTTTCCCTTCTTATTCTGATCCCAGCAATAATAAGTGGTATGCTGAACTGTGGAAACATCAAATCAATTTACATGTCATGCTTTCACATAACTCTAAATGTTGACAGTTTTGTTTTGATTATTTCAGATAATGGTACGTGGACACAACTGTGGCTGATTACGGACTACCATGAGAATGGGTCTCTCTTTGATTATCTGAATAGGAGCACCGTTGACACTACAGGCATGATCCGTATGACACTATCAATTGCCACAGGTCTGGCACATCTCCACATGGAGATTGTAGGCACACAAGGTAAGCCACAAATAAGTTCATATATATCACACACACACACACACACACACACAGAGTGGCAGAGAGAGAGAGAGAGCTAGGAACCTTGTGTCAAACCCTAGGAACTTAGTGCAGTCCAGCCCACATTACTACAACCAGTCTTCATAAGATCTAATTAATAATTGTATTTCCTCCTGCCTATGTTAATCCAAGTAATCCAGCAGACATGTATACATAGCTAACACAGATGGTGATAAACAGTTGAATGAATGAATGAATGAATGAATGAATGAATGTATGTATGTATAAGGGGTGGGCCTTCTTGGCCCTTGCACCATGACCACAGTGATTTATTGTGCCTCCCCTTCTGATTATCCCCTCAGCAATCCCGTGCTTTGAATGAAGCGCAGGATTTTGTACGTGGGGATGTCGAAATAGTCACTTGGTTCCATAAAGTATTGACCCAAGTGACATAATCTTAAATAAGCTAAGGCCTCACATTCACACAGGATATGTGTGGCTGTTTCATTTTCTTCTTGACACCTCTCACAAGTTGGACTGTTACTTAGTCCCAGTTTGAAGAGGTGTCGTTTAAGGTGACAGTTATCCTGTAAGTAGTCCTACCACCCATCATAGGTGGTTCCTGTTTAACTTCAACAGTTCCTTCGCTCTTTTAGTGGAGGGTCCTAATATGAGTCCCTTTGTTTGCCTGAGTCCAATCAAGGATCCCCAGTATTTCTTGTGATTCATATTTGTCCAGTCCCTGATTGCCTTTCTGGCAACTCTTGTATAGATGCCACAGGCTGGTTCAGGTCCTATGAATGGATGTTCAGCTCCAATCTTGGCCAATTGGTCTTCTATTTCATTTCCAGCAATACCATCAAGCCCCGGCATCCATATCAGTTGTACCCTGTTATGTTTGGTGAGTTCCACGAGAGTTTGGTGGCAATCCCAGACCAATTTTGAGTTGATCTGGTGTTTGTCAAGCGCTTTAACCTTTAACGGCCGAATGTCACATATACATGTCGCAGGCCGTAACCGAAGTTGGCCAAATGACCTGTGTTCACGTTGCAGGACACATGCTCTCTTTGGGAGTGCTGGCAGTTTGACCTTGGGTTGGAAACCAAAACAAACCTACGTGAGGTCATGTCAGTGGTTCATTCCTTAGCTCTGAACAAAGAAATTATTTATCACGGTACTGGTTTCGATACTATTTACGTTTAGATATGACTGTTTATGACCTGCTCAGCCAAATATAGCCCAGCTTTGTTTCGAGAACTGATGAGGAAATATTTATCGGTGCTTGCATAAGAGCGCTTGCAAAGCCTTCAAGGAAGTCTGACGCATTCAAGGATTGGTTTTCAGTGGCGAATTATCAGTCAGGGAGTCAGTGTCGGATTGTCTAATATTTCGTTGTATATAATTTTTTTTGTGTCTTGGAAGAGGTATAAACCCACTGAGCCAGTATTACTTTGTGAGTAAAGGCATCTTCGCCACTCCGACTTTCAGTATGTGTCGGACTGGCACTCTTTTCGAGTATTATTATACTTACTTTGCATCACTATTTTGCGAATATTACCAACAGGTGAGAGTGTCGCTTTGTCAATCAACATAATTTATTCGATTTTGCTAGAAACCCCCCTCCCCCAAGACGATTCTTCAGTCGCACAACCCAAATATCATGGTCAGTGGCGTTTCTCGGGGGAGGGCCAAATTTATCAGGGGGCCCAACTGAGTCGACTGGAGGTGAAACATTCACAACACTGGCCAACCAAAGGGAAACTAAGACGTATTTGTTCTCAGAATAAGAAGCGCAGAAGCACGTAAAGTGTCATATTGCGCTGTGTGGGTTCGGCTGCTTCGACAAGTAGTACACGCGCATCGAGTGTGAGTTATTGTAAACTGTGAAGTGATGCAGTTCAAACTCGCATACAGTCTGAACAAAATATTATTGTACGAGTATATAGTGTGATTATATTTACAATGTCACCATGATTTAAGGCTGAAGAATAAACAACGGGTAAGTCCTTTGGAATTTCATGACATATATAATAAAGATTATATTTTGCAATTCATGACAAAATAATCACAGTTAGTTTTCATTTGTAAAAATTGCTCTTCTGTGTACACGTAGAAAAATGTATTGTCTTTCAGGTTGTTTTTAGTTTTTATTTCTATGTTGCATAGAACGGAAAATACGGATTTTTTTCTGACGGTTTGGAAATTTAATTAATCAGGGTGATTTAAATACTGGCCGCAGGGGGCTCCCGGCAATTTAAAAGTCCGTATGTTAAAGGTTAAGTGCAGCTTGGCTGTCAGATAGAATGTAGATGTTCCTGTTTCTGTAGTTCCTATCTAGATTCTCCATAATGCGTGTACATGCCTTAATCAGATATACTTCTGCCTGGAATAATGTCATGTACTGCCCAAGGCTGAAACTAAGTTTCCACCTCATGCCATAGCAGAACACGCCAGCTCCAGTGCCATTATTTATCTTGGAACCATCTGTATACCAGATCAATCCCCCTTCTCTATCGGGTTGAAACCCGTCTTCCCATTCACTCCTGTCAAGAAATCTGACTGTGAAGGGTTTTTCGTATACATGTCTCAGTATCATTTTGTCCAACCCCATTTGTAATATGTTTTTTTTTATGTCCTGAGTTACGTATGCATGTCCAAAACTATCCGATTTAGGTTTCCATTGATCACTGCACTGGAGATGGTAGATTCCTGCCCTGGCCTCTGCCTCTGACTGTATATGCAGTGGGGGGAGTCCAAGAAGTGTCTCCAGTGCAGCTGTTGGAGATGTTTGAATTGCTCCTGTGATACCCAAGCAAGCCAACCTTTGCAGTTTTCCTAAGTTCTGCTTTGCTTGTCTTGAGTTTAACTCTGGGCCACGATACTGTGGCGCCATATGTAATTATGGGTCTTACAACCACAGTGTATATCCAATGCATGACGTGTGGCTGCAGTCCCCAAGTTTTACCAAACATGCTTCTGCATGTCCAAAAAGCCTTATAGGCTTTATTGATGACCTTGTCCAGCTGCTTTTTCCATGTCAGTCCCTTATCTAATACTAGACCAAGGTACTTGACATCGCTGGAGAGCTGGATCGTCTTATTGAAGAGGGTTGGTTCCTTAAGGCCCTTTATATTTCTCTTCCTGGTAAATGGTATAATTACCATCTTATTAGGATTGATTGAAAGGCTTGTTCTTTCACACCATCGTTGGGTCATGTACAGAGCTGTTTGAAGACGCTCTGATACTGTCGAAAGGAATTTTCTGTTTATGAGGATTGCTATATCATCAGCATATCCTACTGTATAATACCCATCATCATTTAGTCCCCAGAGGAGATCGTCAACGACCAGGCTCCACAGCAGAGGCAAGAGCATGCCCCCCTGCAGGCACCCCCTAGACGCGGATGCCCTCAGAGTCTCTCCAGATAGTGTTGCAGCTATGGTTGTGCTTTGCAGCATAGCACTGATCCACCTGCATATTGCAGGCTCTATGCCATGCTTTCCAGTGACCTGTTTGATTATATCAAATGAGGTTCTATCAAAAGCTCCCTCTATGTTAAGGAATGCTCCTAAGGCAAGATCCTTGTGTTCAATCGCACTTTCTATGCATGTTACGACATTATGTAATGTGCTTTCGGTAAATGTACCTGTTTGGTAGGCATGCTGGTTTCGGTGTAGGGGATATGTCCTCAACACCCCGTCCCTGATATGCCTATCCACTATTTTCTCCATCGTTTTGAAAAGGAAAGACGACAGGCTGATAAGGCAATAAGTCTTAGCCTCGATGTTATCTAGTTTCCCGGGCTTTGGGGTAAATGTCGCCTTAACTTGCCTCCAGGCCATGGGAATAAAACCATATGCCATGCAGGCTATATATATGTGGCATAGGTGTGGAACTAAGAGATCTGCCCCTTGCTGCGAAAGTGCCGGTACAATTCCATCTGTTCCCGCTGACTTAAATTGTCTAAAGGTATTCGGTGCCCATCTGATTTTCTACCCTGTTCGTCTTGCTTTGGTAAGTGCCCTGGTTTTGGTGACCCTGTCCATCATCCAAATTATCAGTCAATTTTGAATCAGGAAAGTGAACCCTGAATAATTCATTCAGTGTCTCCCTTCCTGTTTGAGTATACTGCCTGTTAGGCAGCTTAATCATCCTGACCTTGTTGTTCGCCTGTTTTGCCATGATTCTCATGAGTATGGCACCACCTGGTTCATCATTGATCTCCTGACAGTGCCTCCTCCATGAGGATCGCTTGGCTTTCCTTATTTCTTGTGTAGACAGGTAAGGGCTTCCTTGTTGGTGTCCCACTGTAGCTGTATTAAACAGCCTTCTCATTTTGGTTCTAAGCCCACTCAGCTGTTTATTCCACCAAGGCGCTCTCCTTGGTTCGCACGTGGTCCTACCCAGACAATTACTATTAAAAGACGAGATAATAGCCTGTTGCAACTGGTCAACAGGCCAATCAACATCCTTTATTGTGCATATATTTTGCGAGATGGTCTCCAGATTTACCTTTAGGTTGTGTTAGTAAGACTCCCAGTTGGTTCTCTTAGGATTCCTGTAAGTAACTTGATCTACTGAGATAGACAGTTAGTATTAAAATGATTTTAGAGAAATAAGTTGTGAAGGTATGGATTGGATTCAGTTGTCTAAGGGTCACAGTCCTGAAGTACGCTTTACTGAACACAGGTCTTTGGACCTTAGAGTTCCATAGAAGAGCCTGTGCTGTGGAGTTAGTTGTAACATACAATTTGTTTTGTTGATTCCGTTTCCCTATATTTTTACATTGTTATTTTTGTCCACAGGAAAACCTGCCATAGCTCATAGAGACCTCAAGTCAAAAAATATTTTAGTAAAATCAAATACTACATGTGCCATTGGGGATTTGGGTCTAGCTGTGAGGCATGATGTGGCAACAGACACGGTAGATATTCCGCTTAACAATCGTGTTGGCACAAAGCGGTACATGGCTCCAGAGGTAAGCTTACTCATGTGTGACTCTGCCAATGAAACCCGAGTTTCCATTCATCCCCCCATTCTCATCTATATAGAATCTAGCTTTGAACTGAAGAGTTAGAAGTAATAATTGCAGATGATTTTGTGTATATTCAGAAGCAGAGTTGTGAATGCCTTGGGAATTTTAAAATGAATAAAAAAAAAAGATATTGGTAATAAATTTACAGGAATATAAATACACTCAACTCTCGATTATCCGGGGGCAGATAAACCGGTTTGCGGCTTAACCAGGGCTTTTTTGAGGGGTGAAAGAATGAAATGATCTGTGGGAAGTTTCAAGGACAGATACACCACCCCAATTAGGCTCTTTGTATCGATCTTCAAGTGTGTTAGCAAAATGTCAGGGTGTAAAAGGAAGCGTGTTGTGTTAAATATTCAACAGAAACTTGAAATTATCAATCAGTTGGGAAAAAGAGGTGTAATTAAACAATTAGCAATGCAATACAGTATTGGAGAACAAACTGTTCGTGATTTGAAAAAACAAAAGAATCAATTAATTTCCTTTGCTTCGTCTTCTAATTCAAGCGGAATGAAGAAGAGAAAAACCATGAAAAAATCAACATATGATGATCTCGACAAAGCAATGCTGATCTGGTTTAATCAACTAAGGGCACAGGGAACAACAATAACAGGAGCAGTTTGTGCTAAACAAGCACATATGCCATATGCGAGATTTCAACAGCGTGGGATACAGTAAAGCCATCTGTATCGAAAAATTTATGGAAGAAACTGATGCCTTTCGTCACTAATGAAGATGATGAAATCCATGGATTCACTGGATTCAGTGAAAATGAGATAGCCATAGAATTGACAAAATTGGCTAACCAAGTTCATGGTGGTGAAGAAGTAAACGTGGAAAATATAAGAGAGTGGTTTGTCTGTGACTCATGTGAGCTTGGCTTCGAAATGTTAAGCAGTGACGAAATCGTAAGTTCAGTGCGGATGCAGCCAGAAGAGCGGGAAGATAGTGAGAATGAGGAAGAGATGGACAGTGCTGTTAGTAAGAAAATATCACATGGTGCTGCTCCTAATTATTTGGATTCCTTACTAGACTATCTTGAGAATGAAGAGAACAGTTTATTAAATGACAAGCTAATATTATGTAGGCTTCATACAGATATCCGTAAAAAGGAAAATGCTGCGAAAAAGAAAACGACAATATTAAATTTTTTTAAGTGCTAAGTGTGAATATTCGTAAAAAGTGTTGAATGTTGTTGAACACTGTGATTGAAATAACTAATTCATACTTCAGTGTTATGTAAAAAAAGTATTAAATAGGCCATGAGATGACATAAAAATTAGGTTGAATAAATTTAAATACAGGTAGGCCTATAGTATTATAAAGGTACAGTATTACAGTACTACTTTTAATAAAATTTGTCTTACCTGGTTTTCCGATTAATCGTGATTTCCATCCCCACCATTATCCCAGATAATCGCGAGTTGAGTGTATAGTGAATAATTTGTAAATTTTTTCCTTCACTGATTAGGAAATAATCATGCTGGACATTGTTATTCATATTTTTTTATTACCTTAAAAGCATTTATAAGACTCATAGCCTTCTGTCAGAAGTTTCTGTGTATTACTGTTATCTCTTATACTCTCAGAGCATATTCTACTGTTGTATGCTTCATTTCTTCATTGTATTTTGTTATGCAGGTGCTTGAGGAGCTTATCAACATCAACCACTTTGATTCATTTAAAAGGGCAGATGTATATGCTCTTGGCCTCATATTTTGGGAGATTGCAAGGAGGTGTAATGTTGGTGGTATCTATGATGATTACCAGTTGCCATTCTATGACATGGTCCAATCTGACCCAACCATTGAAGAAATGAGGAAAGTGGTGTGTCTGGACCGACAAAGGCCGTCTATTCCTAACCGTTGGCAGTCAAATGAGGTATATCACTTCATGTTATGAAGAGAAAATGATCTCAGAATTTTAGATTTGTATTATTGTCTCAGCATTGGTTATAAGTCATACACATTGGTTGATTCATGTGTTTAATATCTTCCTTCTAAACTTGTAGTGATAATTTTTTTTAATCATGATTAACTTAACAGTTTTAGATGTAGTTCACTGTTGCCTCTGTGCTGCAAATGGCTGAGTGAAGTTGTGAGAACTCCAAAAGCCAAGTTCTGAATGCTGAGTGAGAACTTAGTTGCCACCCAGAGTAGTGTGAGATAACAAATATAAGAATGAAGGCTATTATAGGCTGATACAAAAATACTATACAAGAGAGACTAAAGAACAGTATAAGGAAATGAGAAGAACAGAAAAGATGGTACTTAGATAAAAAAGGAGATTCCATGAAGAACAAATGACAGGAGCTGAAAACCCTCATACACAAAAGGAAAGTAGACGATTTTATCAGCTAGTTATATAATATATATCAGGACTGCACCATAGCTCGAGTAGTAAGTCGCTGGCTTCCCACCATGGCAGCCCGGGTTCGATCCCAGGTCTGGTCAAGTGGGATTTGTGGTGGACAAAGTGGCACTGGCGCAGGTTTTCTACAAGTACTTCGGTTTCCCCTGCCAATCTTCATTCCACCAATTGCTCCACAATCACCCTCACCTATCATCTGGGGCTGGTACAATAGGCCAGAAGTGGCCGCAGTACAAGGGACTTAGTCCCACCCCACTAGCAATAAAAAATATATATATAATATATAAAGTACATAACAAACTAGATGTAGTGAAAATGATCAAAGTAGGGTGGTTGAGATGGCTGGGATACCTATCTAGAGTGCAGGAACAGAACCTTTGCAGGAAGTTGACTACATAAACCAGAGGGTACTCAATGAGTAGGGCAGATATGTTATCAGATGCCTGGGCATTGTACCCTCAATCACTCTGGAAAGTACTCTTTGCATATTTTATGTCCCATAACTTTCATACCAAGCAGGTTCATATGTCTGTAACATTCTAGCTGGTTCAGATCTCAGGTGGGATGTTGGGTATCTTGACTAAGGTTGTTTGTAGTTTTCCTCACCCTTCAGGCAGATGCCAGGCTAGTACCACAAATGAATTGATGACTGTTTTGTTGCAAATCCTTTCCACTTCATTAATCATCAGTCACCATACCATTTGACAACACTGTGTAGTCTGTATGCTGAAGATTTCACAAAATACCATCACACAACTTCCAGACATGATTTTTTGTGTAAAAATCTGCATAAATTATGCAGATAAATATGGTACTCTTCCTGTCTCCATCACAACCGCTGTGTAGTAGACCTGACCAGCAGTTTCATTTGTTATTGGGCCATCACCTGTAACTTAACACTTCTGGATTCAGAGTTAATGTCTGGAACATGGTCAGCTGGTCATCAAGTCCTGATTTGACTTCAAAACAGAATATCAGGGTTAATGATGTTGACAGCAGCACACATACAGTGTTGCAGCTCTGCGTTATCATGAACCATTAATAAGTGAACTTGTTATGTACTGTTGTTCTATACCAGTTGTGTGTTGCATTATTGTAGTGGGATTTGTTCACATTCCAGTTGGCCAAGCATTGTTTTTTTTTCAGTACCATTACCATTATCTCTGAGATAAAATATGGCTGCCAACCCTGTAGTACTTCGTGATTTAAAAATTCCCATTTCAAGACAGTAAACTATTCCCATCAAGGTAAAATCTCGCTGCCAACACATAGTACTGGGAGATTTAAAACTCCCTGTTCGTGGATGATCAGATCAGGAGATCTGAGGCACATGGTCTCAGTGATCCTCAATCTATCAAATGGTTAGGCAGTGTTATAATCCCATGCAATGATAATCAGAATAGGGTAAAGTCGCATCTTGTTGGAAGCAGTACATCTGTGACATTTTTTAATCTGAAAGATTACTATATGGAACTTCAAAAGAAAAACAAGTTGGAAAATAGTTTATTTCTTACAAATTGTTGAAGTCTGTCCTTGGTGATGCAGAGTGGATATTATGTTTATGCTGAAATAAGATCACTTTCACAGAAATAGATTATCACTGTGACATTGTCTTCTGACATCTGTTGCAGGCGCTTCATGTGATGTCGAAAGTCATGAAAGAGTGCTGGTATCAGAATGCGGCAGCTCGTCTCACAGCACTTCGCATTAAGAAGACCCTTGCAAACCTTGGTGCAGCTGAAGATTTGAAAATATAAAAAGTCTGGTATGGAGCACATCAGGTTACTTCCATGCAGGCACCAATCTCAGTTGTTTACAGTTGTGCTGCAGTTCAAGTTATTGGAGACGAAATATTGTTGTGAATTAATTATGAGGAACTGCTTTCACTAGTCACGTCCTTTCATTTCACATAATTATTGCAAGGTTTTTCCTTTCTTAAAATGGACACAGTAAGGTGCTTCATGTTAGTTCCAAAACGATATTCAGAATGTTACTAAATCACATTTTGTGAGAAGGAATATGGTGACAAGCAACATGATCCTGACTAGAAGAACAAGGAAATAATTTTCATGTGGTAATTGTCCTGGGAACCAGTGACCCAGACATGATTCAGTTAGTTGTCCATGTTGAGTAGATCCAGTATGCAAAGTGCTGCTTGCCACCATTGTATTGTTTTTGACATTCTGTTGAAAGCCTGACCTGCATTAAAATGTATTTGCAGAAAAATTGGGATAGGCAGCAGAAAATTTGAAGAAAGGAATGGATGAAAGACAGGAATGTTTGTTGAGTGGATGGCTGTGTGGATGAATGTTAAATGCTGAAGAAAAATCACTGCCCAGTTGTGTTCCCCCTGTAATAGCACAGGCCCTGTATTTACTTTGTTTATTGCTTTGACTCTAAAGCAACTTCAGCTGGTCAGCTACATATAGTGTGAAGTTTCAGCAGTTACATCTGTTCAAGAAACAGTCACATTTGTAACTTTAATTTGACGTCATAGAATTTTAAGAACTCTTAATATGAGGATAAGATTTTCTCTATTATAACACTTCGTAGTTTGGTAGCAATCCACCATTGTTTTGTAGGAACATTGGGCCTCCATCTTCGGGATCAAATTGTAAGCCAAGCAGGAAGCCAGCAGTAAACAAATGGCAATGATCATGAATCTGAATTTTAACTTCTTATCTGATCTGAAATGCATTAACAGTACATGGGTCATTAAGTAATTTTTGTGTGTAAGCAGCATGCTTGAAGGGTTTATGGAAACTTGAAACATAAGATCCTTGCATCCTTTATCTCAGCTGCAGGGAGAACTGAGTGGTCATCAGCATTTTCAACAAATCATCTATATTCAATATGTATTGTTTGATCAATATTAAATCCAGCAATAGTTAAGAAGTCCCTACCTGATGAACAGAATCATGTATGTGAAACATAAGGCTAAGATATGTTTCTCTTCTTATTTGTATGGAACTGATAGACTCATTGATTGATTATTGATTTTAAATTCATTTATCTGTTGAGGCACTATGCTGCAAGCCAGAAGGTGACGGGAGTCCAAATGGGGGGGGATTTTTTTTTTTTTTCAGTTTACCTAATCCTTCCAGCTGCACTATGGCCCTGGGGTCAACTCAGCATGTAACAGAAATGAGTACCAGGAATCTTCCTGGGGGGTAAAAGGTGGCCAGCATGTAAGGCTGACAACCTTACCACCATCTGTGAGCCAGTTGTCTAGAGAAAATGTGGGAGCCTTGACATCTCACAACCCTATGGGCCTTCACAACCTGTTACAGGGATAGCTTTACCTTTTGCATTGGTGTTTTTGGCCACACATCAAAGAAGCAACTTAAAAGCAGTCTTGAGGTAAACTGCTACTAGGCCATTTAGCCTATCCCAATTCAGAATTAACTCTGTGAGAATATTGCACAGTACTTCCCTCCTAACTGAATCATAGGCTTTGTACAAGTTTATGAGCAGCTAATGTACTATATCATTGTACTCCCATATTGTATGAACTTTAGTTGCACAAAAGTAAATGTAGAATGACTAGAGTTGCAGTAGCTCAGTAAAATGACCAGCTGCATGCAAGATAGTGTATGGCTTTGATGCTGAGAGTCAGTCCCTTCAGAAAGTCATGCTCCCTGTTCAGGATACTCCAGAGCTGAGAAATGGTGGAGTGTACGCCAAACTCCTGTGGTCCCTCCTTCATACCCTGCTTATTGGGGTAGACTCTAAAATACACTCACCACTTGCCTTATTCATAATAATTGGGCAAGTACATTTCACAAGCCCTGGTTGTAATTTATAATCATCCTAAAAATAACATTGTCTCATCTTCATATATGGTTTAATCCACTATGTAAATAGGAAGCACAGAAAAATGGAAAGTTGTTTTCAGTGCAAGACATGTTATGGTCTCCATTCTTACTTAGAACCTCATAAAGAGTACTTGTAATGCTATCATATATGATTACTTGCATCATGTCTTGTGAAGTTGTGTAACAAAGCAGTATGATCAGGCTCAGTCTTCCATTACTGAACCATGTTTCTTTACATACAGTTTCTCCTTCATGAAATCCCAAAGAAAAAATTACATAGATTAAATTAATGTCTGGGCTGTGGGGTGGCCAGATTTGTCCACAGTTCTGGTGACACAAAAGAAAAGAGAGGTTACTCATGGACCAGTGATTCCATGCAGGAAATCAAGGACCACATTAACCATAATGTGGTCTGGCCTCATCTTTCATAAACCACAGAGTCAGTCACTTGGCAGTCCAGTATCTTGATATTGGGACTAAAGTTGTTGCACAGCATGGCCAGGAAATGATTAATGTTTATTGCATCATTAAAATAAAATAGTCTTATTATTCCATGACTTGCTATGGCAACCCATTCAGTACTTCTTTGCCATAAGTATTTTTCTTGTGACATTGATGTAAATGTTCATTACCCCAGAATCTGAGATTTTGCTGCTTTGCAGTTATATCCAGATAGAATGTACTACGATGGAAAAAGCATGTGGTGAAGTGTAAAGCCATTTAATGTCTTACCAAAGCATTAAAATTCAGCCTCTCTTTGTTACATTTATTAAGCTTTTGCTTTACAGTAATCTATGAGAAAAGGCAGACCCTTCAAGCTCAGTATTTGGTATATTAAATGGTGTGATATTTTTGATTACACTGTAACTTTTGCTCTTGATTTGAGCCTTGATTCATGGCCAGTCTGTAAACTTTCCATATTATCTGGTCTACAACACTTGAAGTTATGCTTTTGCTCCATCCTCAAAACATCCTCTTTGAAGTGCTTGCTGTGTCTGCATGTTGTTTGTTACCTTGGAGCCCTCTTGGGTGTCAAAATATCCACAAAATTATCTCATTGTTAAAGTGATAATTATTGTCTCCACAAAAACTGCACAGTTGTCACCTTCTACTTTACAATAAGTATCCCATTGTTAGCCATCTTGCCAACTACGTTGCTACTGCGGTGTCAATAGCAACTCCATATTCTGCTTTCGCTGTAATTTACATGTATTGCTGCATTCAGTGGCAGAATTTGAAATATGTTCCTAACATTGTAATTTTTACAGATGCAATAAATGGGCAAACATCCCATATGCCACTATATATATATATAATTGAAGTTTACTCTATTCTGCTCACCCAGTTGACCATAAGAGTGGAGCATTATCAATTTAGCTTTGAGGTTATGGAACTTAAAGCACACATACTTTTCTCCACTTCAAAAGTAGATGATACTGTGTGTTTTATCTGCTTTTCTCTTTTTGTAGTATCTTGCCACAGTATCTTTGTGGTTATATATGATATAATTATTTATTTTCTACAATGTTCAGGGGATGAAATAAAACATTTGCTTAAAGGTCGCAACATGTGCTGTTACTGTCCATGTAACATAGGTAAAATTCTGCTTAATGTACTCAACATACCCAGTTGAATTTTGGTCAGGATTAGCTATGGTGACTGAATTACACCCATAAGTTGCTCCAAGCCTATAGCAGAGTAACATAAAAATAGCTGACTTTGACTTGACTCTCCCCCCCCCCCAAATCACCTGTTTCTAGCATTTCTTTATTCACACTATATGATCTAAGAAACACACAAACATATATGACTTCTTAGTTTTCTCTGCATACCTTTTCTAAGCTGATACGAAGAATAGTTCTGCTTATTTTTGTAAGTTTTGTATCAGTATATTTAGTTTTTCTGAAAGTGCATGAACAGGAATCAGTGTGTCATGTAGTGTTGATTTTACATGGACAGAACAAAATGTTTTGTTCATCGTGGTCATATTTGTTTTTTGAACCATCAGTGGCTCAAAAATGAAATAATTTAATACATTTTTAGATTATTGTAATCATGTCTTATCTTAAACTAGGACTGCCTTGAAACATGTACACATATTTTCTTCATAAAGTTCTGATCTGGTTTTGAAACTTTGCTGTTAATGTTAGAATTGTGAAGCAGGAGAGAAATAGAGAAAATTTATGAATGTTTTTAATGAAGTTCAGTGTGACACACATACTTTGCTATGATTACATCTCACTGACGTTCTGTTCCTTATCTTCCACTGTAGTTTGATTCCGGATGAGAATGGTTTGTGTCGTAGCTTATGAAAGTACAATGTTTATTGAATTCAGACTGATTTTATCTGTCATTTCCAAAAATATTGAGCAACAAAATTATTTTCTTCTTGTATGCGACAAACTGCTGAAATATCATGTTGACATGAAATGTTTTTTTTTTAATATAACTCCCCAATTTTATGTTACATGTATCAGAAAATATTCATATAGTGCACTGCTACATGGCATGGCAGTCTACAAATGTGTACATTGAGACTCCAGCTTCCTTCATAGTGATGATGCAGTATTTAGTAACGTTGTTTTTGTATGTAATAGTACAATATTTTATTATGCTGTCATTGTCATAATTATTCCAATATTATGTTAAGCAGCAGAAGTTGTTTTAGAATGAGGTCTGTAGTGATTAAATGTTTCCTCTAAAATGATAATACATTTTAAAACCCGCTTCAGGGATACTCTTTGCCTTTTAGAGGAAATGTTACAGTAGTCCTGTGCCTTGTTGCCCTACAGTTGCAGCAACATATCTCCTTCATGCCCTATAGCAGTTCCATAGACATATGTCTTTATGCCTGCACACACATCCAGGCTGTTATTTCCTGTTATCACTAATTAAAGGAATGTTCATATAATTTTACCATATGTGTGAATGTGTTTTTTTAGTATGGGTATGTTAGAACTTATGATCCTTCTGCCATTTCAGTAGAATGTACTGTTATATTTTTTAAATGGAATATTGTGGATCATATTTAGATTTTTGAGAGTCATGAGGAAGAATGTGTGTGTGTGCGTGCGTGCTTATGTGTTTAGTGATTATGTGAGAAATGGTTTGTGGGTCTTGGCAAATTGTAGTTCCTAGTACTGCTTATTTAGAACTAAACTCAGCGACCTTAAAATTATATTTCATTGACTAGACATTTACAGAAAAATTTTCAGTACCAGTCATCAAAAGCAAATATATACAACTTGAATGCAAATTTGATCTAGATTCACAGTAAGGGCTTTATAAATATAACTTGTAATTAAGAAAAAACAGTGAAGAGTTCTATCTTATAGTATGTCGCAGAAGATAGAATTCTTCTTATAATTCACAGGGACAGTTTTGGAGGTGCAGCTTCATGTCATGTTCATAGACTGGTGGTGTGCTACATTGTTTTTTTCTACAGCACGTTTTAACCTTATAAAGTCATCAGGTATATTATATATGTGTAGTTTCTTTTTTTATCTAAAATGTTAAATTTTAATTTACAGTGGGTCAGAAATTTTGCTGAATTTGGTTAAAATTCAAGAAACGTGGGAGTGCTAGAAACGTAAAAAGGAAAAAAATTTAAATTCGTTTTATGGATGTAAACCGTTGTAAAAATGTATGCATTTTTAATGCAGGCATTAAATGAAAATGAGTTCTCAGCTTTGTGTTCCATCCAGTGTACCCATGATTCCTATTTGTAGGAGGTCTGAACTTAGTTCCTATTTCTGCTTGGAATAGATTTCAAGTTGTGTAATCCATAGCCAGTCGCTTTACTGACTGAGGTATCCTAGCACATGATAAAAGAGAAACTCATTTCTCAAACTTGTTTCTTTTCTCTCCCATTGTTTTTGCTTAATTCTTTATGTATTTCCAAAAAATAAAAAATCTTTTGTGTTGTAGGGTTTACCCTATTTCAGTGTTATTTTTCATACATTACTAATTTATTTTCACCAGAAAAATAGTTTAATCTTATGTTTAAAACATTGTTTTGATTGTCAAATTTTGTGACAGTCTCACATAAATCTTTTGTGAGAAAAGAACAAAAAGTGTGTGTAATTCTGTAATAAGATATCAACCTAAAATT